GACAAGTCGCTTAACACACCCTAGCCCGGGCTGGTATGCATGTAGGGTACTCGCTAGCCACGCGTCACAGTCCCCGTTGAGACCCAAGTGGATGGGTCACTACCTACCTACCTACCTACCTACCTACCGAGGCTACGTGCTAACCACACTGATAGCTACCTACCTTGGCCACTCAGCATGGGATTTAGACTATGTTATTACCTAAAGTTAACGTCAAAAGATTCAACGTCAGGAATCCCTTTCCCGATTATTAATGCAGCTTTTGCTTTCGAGCATTGGGTTTCCGGCTCACGGCATCCTGAATGGGGTCTTGAACTCGGTTGTGAAAACAGCCCAGTTGCTTTCAACGGTGAAGCAACGTCTAGCCTGAAATTATGTAGCACACGGCCCGAGGCTCATGGCCCGAGGCTCATGCCTGACCGAAAGAGTCATACCATGATGCTCTGGCACGATGATTGCTTGTAGCGCGGAGTTTACACTCTTTTTTCGGTGCTTATGCCTGTTTTTAGGGGCTGACGACATTGCTTGACCAAGCAGTACTTGGCTTGGAGCGTAGATGTGTGCTTGGTGACTGTGATCGTTTCCACTGTAACTGGGACCATGACCTTGTAGGTTCGTCAGCACCGGGTTGAGATTGTGATAATGTCTATTACCATTACCATTACCAGAGGTAATTACGAAGCCTTTGACCCTGCGGGCTTCATGTAGTTCAACATGTCCGACAAGTCTTTTCCAGACCGTTGATAACCGTTAACAAGCACACCATACCCACATATCTCTAAAGACAAATGGTGGACAGTTCTCGAAACATCTGACCCATAACGACAACCCCCTGACTTAACCCTACCAAAAGGAACAAACCCTTAATGGTCTATCCCCAGCGCCCTCAATCATGCCACGAGATATACAGCATAATCCCCGCCCCCACCGCAATAGCCGCGAACTGCACCAGTGTCTTCTTCAACTCCTTGGCCTTATCCTTGCCCGTCTCCAACAACTCCGGAATGACCGCGACCGTGCCCACATACAGGAACGTACCTGCCGTGAACGGCAAAAGCATGTCGCCCCAGGTTAAGCTGGTTCCCCAAATACCCTCCTTCATGCCCATTGCCGCCTCGCTGGAGCCGCTGCTACCACCGAATTCCTGCACGGCGATACCAATAAGAGTGCCGAGCATGGCGCCGATGGCCGTGACGAACTGGGCGCCCATGGCCTGGCGCTTGGAAAAGCCGGACTGGACGAGCAGGGCAAAGTCGCCGACCTCGTGGGGAATCTCGTGGAAGAAGACGGCCACGGTGGTGGTTGCGCCGATGGTGGGAGAGGCGTAAAAGGAGGCGGACATGGCGAGGCCGTCGGTGATATTGTGGGTGAAGTCGGCGCTGTCAGGTATGCGGTTAGCTTCCTCATGATCTTTAACGTGTGATGTGGAAAGGGGTGGTGGTGCATACATCAAGTTCAAATAGCCGCCCAGCTTCGCAGAGGGGTTAACCTCCTTCTTGTCATCCTCCTCTTGAGCGTCCACATCCTTCTTCTTCAGCTCGTTCTTCTCACCCTTCCTGTTCTTCGCATCGCCCTTCTTGGCCACGTCAACACCAGTCGCTGCGCCGTGCTCATGCGAATGACCACCATGGGAATGTCCATGAGAATGATCATGCCCTCCTTCCCCGCCCGTGGCGATCCTCAAGCCCTTATCCATAGCCACAAAAGTCATGAACCCAACCAAGATCGCAAGGCCCAGCAGCAAGTTCCTGTTTGGTTCTACTAGCACAAACTTTGCGCTCTCGTGGCTATCCTCGCCAATGAAGATCTCAGGAAGCAGATGGAACAGGGTATCGCCTAGCAGGCCGCCCACGGCAAAGGCAACCATGACAGACAGCGAAGACGGGTCGATGTTGGTCGGGCACAGCGCCAGCAGAAAGTTGGGCGGGCCCGAGATGTACAGGGTCGCGAGGATGGCGTTGACGGCGGGGGAGCCGGGGAAGAGGATGGCAAAGAGGCGCTCGGTGGCGGAGGAGGACTGGTGCGCGTGCGCGATGACCTTTTCGGCGGAGAGGGCTTGGACTACTGGGCAATCCTATGTTTGAAGAAGCGCGCCACGGGTTAGCGGTTGGGTCGTCGGCGACATCATGACCTAGAGGCAGATGAGTGGGGGGGGGGGGGGGCGGAGAAGGTGAACGAACCTGCAACAACCCATCCAGCTCCTCCAAGCTCATGTCCGAAGGACTCGCTTTCCTTTCCATCCCGTACTTCTCGTGCGTACCCCGCGCATAAACTTGGAGAACAGCAATGGAGGCCAACGCGAAGAGCATCATCAGGCACTTGGCCCGCGATATGCCCACCGCCATGATGGATGGAGGGGATTGCAGTTGGGAATTGAAGCGCTCAGCAATACCGCCAATTGGAACCGAGAAAAGCAAAACACGACAACTTCCTTCCAAAGCCAACTGCAACAGAGATGGATAAAAAAGTAGTCGGAGGAAGGAAAGAGGAAAAGAAAAGGGGGATGGAGAAAAGAAGGAGGAGAGTAAGGGCTTCAGTAAGACATCATATACATAATGCCGACAGGTAGAGAGGTATGGTAGACAGCTGGAGCTCCAAGGGAGAGAGTGGGGATCAAGCTGAGCTGTTCATCTCTTATTGTTTCCTCGTCCGGCCGGCGGCGGCGCCAACAGCGAGGACGGGGCACAGTCAAAACAGTGCGTGTACTCGGTTACATAAAGAGAGCCAGGGCGCGGCCGGGGGTCGATGAAAAACCCAACACCTCACGGCGCGGGCGACAAGACACGGGCGCGGGCGACCCCGCAAAATCACTTCTCCTTCTCGTCTGAATGCTACGCAACCCCGTTTTTAGGGCTGATGGTCAACCGACACAGGTCCACTGTGGGTTACATAGCGCTGACGCAAGCGCTGAGTGCCCTGTCGAGTGTCGTGTGCCACACTGCCGTGGGGTCCGGGTTGAAGCGGGTATTTCCCGAGCGACAGATCCTTCTCTAGTAAATAGGTACCTCTAGGTACTGTTCTACCTGCTACCTAACTCAACTCTTCTTGAACACAGAATACCTCTAAGGTATTGGCACTTCAACATCAATGCCCGCTGAAGCGCCTGGCCAGCAAAGCTCTCAATGGTGGGGCACCACAAGAACAAAGCGACAAAGCAACACCATGGCCGACATGTTCAGCATTTGAGATGGCGCACAGTACCTAGGTAGGCGAGCTAGGTAAACCTTGAAAGATAGGTAAGCATAAGGTATCTAAATTGCCCCTGGGTTGTTCTGTACTAACCAAAAATACTCCAAAAGCCTGTGTCTTACACCCTCATTAGACCCCGAGTAGCAGCTCTATAGACTAAAGACCTGCTGCTTCCTCCCCCTCATTTACCACGTGAACAAACCTAAGGACTCTACCAATTCGCAAACCACTAACCTGGATCTAGACCAGCACCACGCTGCAATGTGTATACTGCCCACAACGTACGAGAGCAAAGGAGAACCTATCCCAGCAAAGTGCAACTCACGGACCAAAAAGAGCCATCGCCATCATTACAACAACAATCACATCCCCCATCGACCCCTTGATGGAGCTTGCCTTTCCACTACTCGCAGCTGTGCTAGTACCTGATGGCAAGCTAGCCACAGTCATTGTACCGTTTGAAGCAAGACTGGAAACGGGGGCGAGAAATGTGATGGCGCTTGTCACCGTCGACTTCTCCGATTGCGACGAAGCAATGCTAACTCCAGAAGCGAGACTGATCGAAGAAGAAGTGGTTCTAGCAAGTGTCAGTACACTTGCAGAACTTGAGTCTTTTCCCCAGTCATGTCACTTACTGGCTCAGCTTGCTACTGTTACAAGAGAGGTCAAAGAGAGGAGTCGTCGTCAATGTGCTACCAATCAGACCAAAACTGGGATTTGGAGTCGCCGGGGCAGAGTCTTGCATCGTGTACCACCAAACATTGGTGCTGCCAAACAGAGGGCAGCCAACCTGGTCCCAGTAATATTTGGCATTGGCGATGCTAGGGACGGCTTGGCCCATGGTTTTGCCGCTAAGAGGGAAGCCCGTTTCCGTAATCCACACCGGCTTGCCTTGGGATGCAGCCTTGGTGGCGCTCAGAGCGTCATCAAAAAGGGACTTGCTATGGCCGATGTCGTTCTGCTGCGTTTTCTGGAAATAAGGGTAGCCATCGAAGCCGAGAAAGTCCGAAGCATCCACCACCACTTGGTTGGAGCTGTTGACCCAGGCGGTCCAGGTATCAACGTGGCCTACCGGGACACCATCCAGAGCTGTGTGAGCTATGATGTCACGGACTTGCTTGATATAATGGGCAATCGTGAGAGGTGCGGCTCCGGGGTTCTCCTTATTCTCAATGCCGGTAGGCGAGATGCGATACAGATCCTCGCTGCCCACCGAAATGCCAGCCACTAATCTGCCAAGGGCAGTTCCGTACTGCTGAATGGCAGAGCTGAGGGCTTGAAGCTCGTTGGTGAACGCAGCATCACCAGCAGAAGCCCATAGACCAAGAAGCAGCGATGTTCGGGTAGTAATCGCAGCTGGGATAGCCGAGATGGGAGCATTCACCGTACCCCCTTGCTATTGAACGAGTTTCATGGTCAGGGTCTTTAGGCCAGGTACACAAGGTATGAGGCGAGGAAGGGTGGGGAGCTGAACTAACAATCATTGTGTATAGTCGTGCACTGGTGAAGCCTCCAGCAGGAGCACCGACGAGACCTTGGGCTGTTCGAAACTCGGCTTCAAAGTCAGACTGTTGCTTGGCAGCGCCATTGGTGAACGAGGAGCCATAGTTGAAGCCCTGGTAGGCGCCCATCACTGTTGACAGGGTGGCAGCCAAAGCTACGAGTTGCGAGAGTTGATACATCGCGGCGGGTTATGGCTGTAATTTTGCTGTCAACTTTCAAAAAGGAGGTATCGATGTTGAGGCTGAGTCGCGAATGGGCCACAACCGTCGACAAAAGCGAGGCTCAAAGTTGAAGGAACGAGTCCAAGAATCACCAAAAAGAGTCGGGGTGGTGGACCAAAAGTTTGAAAGAAGAGAGAGGATGGTCTGGGACGAGGACAAACGGGCTTTATGTGCTAGCTTGGGACGTGTCACCGAACAAGAGGACGCAGAAAGATTAACGTAGGTCTTGAGCAGGAACGATGCCTGATGACGGTTGATAAATGCCGGTCCAGGGAACACAGCGTATTGTGTTGAGTACACCGCGGCAATCGGGAGATCTCACAGGCAGGTAAGGTCTCGTAACGTGAGTCTAGGATATTGATAGGTGCTGACTTGAAAAGAATAGGAAGTCGAGTAAGGACGGAATAGCAAACGCAATGCTGTTGGTGCTTGTAAAGGAAAAAGATCATGATGTTGGTGGTTTGGGATATCATCGGACTCCGATTATGTACCATGAATTCTCTTTGAATGGAGAGCAAGAGCAAAGGAAAGCATAATGATACTTGATGGTCTCATTGTTGCAAGGGTAAGAGTTCCCATCCTCTCTTGCGCTCCTTCCCTTGCAGTCAAAGTCTTTTTACATGCCATCATATCGACCCCATCCAAACCAGGTAAAATGGAAAGCAAGCGGTTTCCACAACATCAGAACACAAGGCTACCTACCTTTCAGGAAGGAAGTTGAATGGAGTCGATTTCAACTTGGTATGTTGTGCTACGATGGAAACACTTGCTCGTGATGATCACTCAATGGCCATAAAGCCGCTGCCCATGTCTGACCAAGGCTCGAGTCCAAATCATGCAATAACTCTACAGTCATGTGAGTTTTGCACCTATTGGGTTCAGGGAAGGGCAAAGGTGATGTGGTCAAGTCCCGCGGTTTTCTCATTTAACCACCTGTGGCTTGTTTCCTTGACAAAACCTTGTCGAGAATCAATGACCGGTTATTCCTGTTATCAATGATGGTCCTGCTATAGCAGAGTGGAAGCTGCAACATGATAACGATATGAGATGGGAGGAGGAAGGGGGGTCGGGCATGTATGCCATTTGACCCACCCACCTAACACAACCCGATTAGGCCCGAGCTTATCTACCTTTCAGTTCGCGTTTCCGGGCTTTCCCGGCAATGAAGCCGTTCATCACATCCTCAACCTCCGTTCCGTCCACGCTCTGATATGGATGTTATATCCGCCAAATCTCCGGATGCGACTCGACGGCCAGGCACCGACCAGCCACTCACAGCACAGTCAGCCGCATGATGGAAAAGTACGCCATTGTCAAACTTTTGCTTTCAGGGCGTGGCTCAAAAAGAGAGCCGGTGCCAACGACAATGCCATGTCCAGCGATCGCTCAGCTTGTCTATAGCACACAGTGAGCAAGACTTGACATCAACACCATGGATTGGGCTTTTCGTTACTGGGCCCCATTAGGCGTCCCAGGTCGCGAGATATACCATGATCAGTTTCACGCGCCAATTGACCTCTCTATACAGAGGCAAGTCCATACAAACTGCTCTCATAGACAACGCATGTATCATCCGCTAATGACATGGTTAGAAGTCCGGATGCTGGCTGGATCCTCGAGGCCTCGCGTATCGCCAAGTCGGGCGTCATCCAAATTTGTCTTGTTGCCTTCGTCCTTGTTTGGACAGCAATAGAGACCACCTGCCGCTACAGTTCCTACTTCAACATCCCAGAAACCACCAAGGCCGTCCGATTCAGTCTGCCTTATGAGCTTCTTTCTCAACTCTTACGTGGGGCTGCCTTCACCTTCACCCTTCTTAGCGGGTACCACTACTATCAGTACTGGTACGATGCCCTTCCTGTCGGCCTGGCCTTTTTCCTGGGTCTTGCCCGTTTGCTAGCCACGCCGAAATGGCAGCGCGTGAGCTTGCATCAAATCAACTTTCTCCTCTTCACCTCCCTGGTTACCTTGGCTACAGCCTATCTCCTCCCCTCCCTCAGGATGAGGTCGGACGAGGAGGTTGAAAAGGTGGAGATTGGGGCTATCGGAAGTCTGGCATTCGCATCGCTCATTGCGCTCATGACTCCGAGAGAATGGGGACCTCCGCCTGCCACCGAAAACATGGCCGTGTACAGACACATCTCCGAGGCACAGCCTACTCCTGAAGAAACAAGTAGTTGGTTCGTCCGCTACTTCAGCTTTGGCTGGCTGACTCCGCTGATCTGGAAAGGTTGGCGCACCCAAGTCGATATGGATGACATTCCAGGACTTCCTTGGTATGACGAACCCTCACTCCTTCTTGACAGAATTCTCAAGGTTCGGGAGAGATACAAAACAACCATGTGGACAGTTCTCTCCTTCCAGCGCAGCGAAATTGTTGCCATGACTTTGTGGGTCGGCTCCTCATTCGCCATCGAACTTGTCGCCCCTTTTGCCATGTACCAGATCCTAGACTACATATCGTCCCCCCATGATGCTGTGCTACATCCCATAATTTGGATGGCATTGCTCTTTATGGGTCTTATGGGAAAGTCCATCACCATGCAGCAGTACGTCTTCACGTCAACCAGACTTGTCGTCCGCCTCAAGTCAGCCATGACCCAAGAGTTGTACCACAGGGCCTTATCGTGTATGGAACTTGAAGATGATGTTATCAATGACATCGCCACAAGGGGTGCCAAAGAGCAAAGAACGCAAACCACGTCGGCAGGAAGATTGGCCAATCTGATGGCAAGTGACGTTGATGCCGTGTTCAAGGCTCGAGATGCCATCATTGGCCTTGTCGGGGTGCCCGTAGGCATTGTTGTCAGCATTATCGGCCTTTATAAGATGGTCGGATGGACGAGTCTGGTTGGTCTCGCCTTCTTGGTGCTCTCAATGTCCTTCCCAGTCTGGATTTCCCGTATGATGGGCAAGACGCAGCGCAAGGTCAAGTTGGCACAGGACTTACGCATATCTCTCATCTCCGAGTACCTCGAAGCCATCAAAGCCATCAAGTACTTTTCCTGGGAGGATGCTATCATTAAACGCATCCAGGAAGCGCGCGAGAAGGAGCAAAAGGAACTTTGGCACATTTGCCTATGGTACGCTCTTCTCGGACAGTCTGGCGAGCTAATCCCCGTCATCACCTTACTGCTCATCTTCAGCCTGTACATAGGGGTGATCAAGCAGCCCCTCACTGCTCCTATCGCCTTCACCACTTTGTCCGTGGTTATGACACTGCGGCGGAATATGGGATATGTGACCCAGATGTCACGAAACCTGACTGACGCACATGTCTCGATTGAGCGTTTGGACAAGTTCTACTCAAATACAACACCGCTAACCCAGTTTCCAGAAGGTCCCTTGCAAATCGAGAAAGCAACCTTCCGGCGAAGCAAGAGGGCACCTTTTTTGCTAAAAGATATCTCCATCAACTTTGTAGAGGGAGGCCTGAACATAATCAAAGGTCAGAGCGGGAGTGGGAAGACGAGCCTTTTGTTGTCTATCTTGGGAGAGACCGCCCTCGAAAAAGGAATGGTGACCAGGCCCAGCGACGTCGCTTTTGCCTCCCAGACACCATGGCTTCAGAGCGAGACAATACGCGACAACATCCTATTCCACGCTCCTTTTGAGCAGGTCAGATATGACAGGGTTATTGAGGCATGCTGCTTGGGCTTGGACTTTGAAGAGCTTCCTAAAGGAGACTTGACTGAGGTTGGGGAGAATGGCACCGCCCTTTCCGGTGGGCAAAAATCGAGAGTGGCAGTTGCTCGAGCTCTCTATTCCAAGGCCCCATTACTGCTGCTGGATGACATCTTCTCTGCTCTCGACGCCAAGACGGCTGCGTCTCTGTGGAAGCATTCCTTCTGCAGTGTTATGCTCAAGGGTAGGACCATCGTTCTGGTAACTCAAATGCCTTGGTTAGCTTCCCAAGCCGATCTCGCAATCACAATGGAAGCCGGAACAGTCAAGAACATTGAAAGGAACGTTGGTGTTGTCCGCACACCTGTGGAACTGGAGTACGGAACCACCAACAATGAGGACTCTCAAGAGAGTACGACCACCTTGAAGATCCCACTTGTACCAGGCGGAAACCGGGCAGGCTCTCCCAAGAAGATGAAAGACGAAATATCCAATGAGATGAGTGCCAGTGGAACATCAAGACGGTTTACTTGTAAGACTCATGCCCTGACCCCTT